TAGTCTTTCTGGTGCCATTGCAGCTGTTTGGCTCGGTTTGATCCATATGGTCGGCACAATTATGTACATTCTCTGCTTAACTTGACGTAATAACTGGCGATTTTGGCACCATTTGTCGCATCACAAAGTGCCATCCAATGCCGCCATCATCCCACCGCAGTCTGCAATTAAGCGGTGGGGCTGAGGCCCCTCTGATTGCATGGTCCAGACAGCCATTTCAGACAGAAAAACACTCCGCCACTAGTGGACCCAATTACTGGAGGCTTGACTTCGACTTGAATGTACAGGTAACCATACATGTCTATCGAGAAAAGAAAGATGATCTCGATGTAGGTCACTGTTTTGGTAGTGTAAATTTGATTTTGGTAAATATGTTAAGAGAAACGGGTATTCGATTGGTCACCTCAGATACCGTTTCTAACTGACATTAATTTCGCAGTCGCCCGAGGCTGTTGAAATATGCAAGAACTAATATTTCACATTTCCACAATGGGATGCAATTTTTAGTTCACTTGACCAGGCCTCACAGAGAAGTTCTCATCAAGTTTACACTCCGCCTATGTCTCATCGACATTTCCAGTTGGATTCGAGGCCGTATCGAAACCGAAACCGGACGAGGGTTGCCGCGGAGTTACGCAATTAAGTCCCCGGCACACTATCTCACGACCCCGATTAATCAGTCCGGGCTGACCTTTCGCCTGAAACTTGGCAGACATCGTCAGAGCCGTATAACATGCATTATCATAATTCATCGGACACCAAGACAAGAAATCCAGCATTACTTTAAACAAGACAAAAGGTTATTTCGATCCTCTTCTGGTGAGATCGACTCACGTGTCTCTACCGTGAGCACTTCAGGTCAATATTGAAATATGAAGAGATTCTCCAAATTCTTATTTTCCTGAAATACTGGACGAGTAAACAATTATTAAATCAAACTTAATGGCAAGTTTTATTGTGGTACCACTATCCCTGTGTATGAAGTCTCTCTAATACTGTGCAAGGTATCGGTTAGCATAACTTTGGCGTTGAGACTACTTATAAAACTTTTAAGTAGAACCTTTTTCACTTCTGAAGAAGAGTAACAGATGCATCGATTTACAATCTACCAATGTAATGAAGTTGTTTGACCTTTATTAGCAACTTGGTCATATTGGCAGGGAGACCTAGAGGAACGCATCTTGTCCGGAGTCCATAGTATGTCTGATAATTTCCAGGGTCGGATCGTGGACGTGGTACATTCCAGGATA